CACTTAGAGAGGGCTGTAAAGCACTGTGAAGAGATGTATATTTTCTGTATTTTCTATATTTTCTGCAGTGTGTGGGGGATTTCTAATCTCATTGTCCTGTTCTGTACAGGTGCGGATTCAGACCGTTCCAGCCTCTCATCTCCAGCCAGGAACAGTGTCTGGCTCTACAAAAGCGGTATCCACTGTAGTTGTCACGGCAGCCCCATCTCCAAAACAGACCCAGGATCAGCCGTGAAAGTGTCAGCAGGATTATATATATTTTTTCAACTAAGTCTCTAGATCTCTTGCGCCATTTTCACCTGAGTAGCTCAGGTGGGGTTTCGTGATGTGCAGGTTGGTTCCTGATGCAGCTCGAAGCGTCTCTAGTGGTCTCTGGGGTCCTGAATAGGCAGGGCCACTGATACAAGCCCAGCTAGCGTAGCATGCTAGTGAAATCCACATTGAATTTTTTAATGAGGAGTCGTCTCTCTGCATTATCAGCTCGTGTTGGTGGGAATGTCTATTTCTACAAGGGATTCTAAACGAGACAAGAAGAAGAATGGGAGCGTTGGCAGTAGTGGACACTGGATTGGGCTTTCTGCCATCTGGATTGTTACTGTTTGTTCCCAATGTTTTTGTCTGTTCCGTGTACGTATATGACTGGGTTTTGTTTTTGTTTTTTGAGATCTGAGACCCACTTCGGGTTGATGGTCTTTCTGTGTGCGGATGTTTCTTCCGCCTGCACCAGGTTGCACAAGAAAATCTCATACGCAGGTGAGCTAGTTGTGAATAAAGCCGAGAGTTGAATTCTTTTGTTCCCTCTACCCCATTTTGAAAAAATGTTGGTGGCCTTAATGGGACAGGAAAATTGCTTCTCAAAATCACAAGTGAAGCCAACTCGCCCAGAGCTTGGTGAACACTTACCTTAGGAGTCTCCAAAGGTGGCAACTTTTAAGACTTGTGGACTTCAACGCCAGAATTCTCCAGCCAGCAGAGCAAGGAGGGTCTTATGTCTTGAGTTAGAGTTGGCTGGAGAATTCTGGGTGTTGAAGTCCACAAGTCTTAAAAGTTGCCAAGTTTGGAGACCTCTGACTTACCTGCTCACTTCAGTGGAGATTAGCCTAACTGTTGATTTTTATTACTTTTTGAATAAAGGTTACCAAACTTTATAAACGAACGTCTGCTATCAGCTCAGCTATATTACCTGAACTGTTTTGTTTTATTGTAAGGGATCATTTTTCAAAAGCGATATTAAGCACTGAAATGAATATCTATTTGGTTTGTATTTTTGCTAAGAGAAAAATGCCACATCTATGAACCGCGATAGTTATTGCATACCATGTTCACAGTTTTGCATGGTCTTGGTTTTTAAAGTCAGGAGAGTTACTAGCTATTATAAAGTCATCTGACATTAAAATCAGATGTTAATTCAAGTGTATTGTACTTTATTGCCATAAAATGGGGATCCAAATATAGCTCCTAGTTTGGGATGCAAGAATCAGAAAAGTTGGAAAAACATGACAAACAATACACTGGGGGTTTGAAAGCGGCACTTCGTTTGATTAACTAGTAATGAGACTTGTAGAATTTGGCATTTTCTGTATGTTTATTCAAACAGTATAGTAAAATGCACATAATTCCTAGAAGAAATATTTTGGATCTTATAGGAGCCCAGAGCAGTTCTGGTAAGCATGCTTGTTTTCAATCATGTATCTGCCAGACCCAGAGGGGGAAAAAAGTTGCCATTGTTTTCATGAATCAATCATTAACATAATTTGCTTGAGGCAGCTCTTAAAAGCATCCTTGCCCTGAAGTCTGAAGAGGTGTGAATGCATTGTTAAAGGGGCAGCTGACAGGTGCTGCATTCATACAAGCGCCAAAGCACTTCTTTTAAAAGAATTTTCAGAAAGATCCCACACAAAGAATGCGCAGGCTTTGAAGTAAAGGGATGAACAGACATTTATTTGCCTTTAATGGACCACCTCATTCCACCGCCTACACTCTATATAGGTGTCTTAAATATCTTAAGGTCCCCTAATTTGCAGCAGTTGGGGTTTCGCTTGGTTGAGATGCCAAAGAGGTATAGGATCTCCTGGTTGAGCACAGGGCTGGACTAGAAGACCTCCAAGGTCCCTTCCAGCAATATTCTAATTCAAATTCTGCCCCGATAGCCATGAAGGTCAACTCCTCGTTACCGTTTCTTCTTTTCAAGCTTTTCTAGGTCAGTCTGGTTGACTGGCTTAATCTTCTACTCACCAACCAGCATTTCCTTCTTGGCTGGATATTTTTCTCACTGGATTTTAAACCCTCCGGGTAGCAACATGTTCTTGTGTAATGAATACTTGGGATTATGTAAAGATAGTGTAGGACATCCTGATGGACTCACTAGACAGCCTGCAGTAAATACACAATTCAGTGATTCTGTAAAATTTCTAGGAAACGCAATGCTGTGACTAAGTTTTCCATTAATTATGCCACTTGATGCTGAAGTTACTCTTTACACATTTAATACATCGTGCTTTTCATTCAGGTGCTTCACACTATTTCCCCCATAGTCTAGATACTTTTTAAACTAAGTCCATAGTGTATTTCAGCAATGTGAATTGATATTTTAATTTCATTTTCCTAAGAAACACCTTTCTGTTTTTAACTCTCATCTCATCATCTATCTTTATATTTATATCATCTCTATCTTCCATCATCTATCCACCTATCCATATCTGTCTCTCTCTCTCTCTCTCTCTCTCTCCCCCTCCCTCCCTCCCCCCTACCTCAGATTGTTTTCTGGGCATCTTTGTGATTTGGCAGAAATTTGTCAGCGTTGCCTGTCTGAATATTTTAAATTACTGGCTATTTTTACTTCATTGCTCTGGCCTTTTAACCTTGGAGGCTGTGCTCAAGAGGGCAACAGCAGAAATGCTAGGATTGCAACTACTCAAATTCAGAAAACAAAACCAAAACACCAAACCAACCTTCCCCAGGGTTGAATGGATAGCTTCAATTCTGGAAGCCAATCATTCCAGATAGAGCACCGGTTTTCCTGCCCATCCAAACTGTCCTGTCTGAATCAAAGTTCAAGGTTGCAACTGTTTGCTCTACTAGGACCGCTCAGTGCTTAAAGCCACCTATGTTTTCTCCAGTCATGTATTTTCCTGTCAGTTCCCTCTGGAAGCACATTGCATTAGCCTACCCCAATAATAACAGAGATCTCCCTCCCCAGTTTACTATATAAACTGCACTTGGCTAGATTCCCACAATATGTCAAGGCAAACAGTAGACTGTATTACCAGTCAGGGTTAGAACTGACCAACGCACAGCCCAACCCCATGGTAGCCTGTGCTTTAGATCAGGGGGTCTCCAAACTTGGCAACTTTGAGACCTGTGGACTTCAACTCCCCGAATTCCTCAGCTAGTCTTGCTGGCTGGGCAATTCTGGGAGTTGAAGTCCACAAGCCTTTAAAGTTGCCAAGTTTGGAGACTCCTGCAAACCACAGCCACCCCAAATAAATCAGCATCCATACCAGACACGTGTGGTTCCTTCTCCATTCCAACGATGGTTTGTCCACCGTCCCATTAGCTTATTTCTAAAACGGCCTTTTCCAAATACCTGCGTTCACTTTGTGACTCTGAATCCCACCCTTTGTGGTTTATTCAAACCACCTCCAAATCACGCGAGTCCAGCAGAGACAAACCCTCTGGGGAAGTTAAATCAGATTTGTACAGTGGTTAAGGCGCTGGTGTTGCGTTCTAGTCCTGCCTTAGGCCTGAAAAGCCAGCTGAGTGACCTGACAGGGTTGTTGCTGGGAAAAACAGGAGGAGGAAGGAGCTTCGGGTATATTCACGCCCTCGAGTTATTTATAGAAAAAGGAAGGAAAGATTTGAACAGATCTTTTAAAAAATAGGTTACTTCTTGGGTTGCCCACGGAAGAACGGAAGAGTCAAGGAAGACACAGGCAACGTGGGATAGAGGACCAGGCTAAGGAGTCAGGGGTCTCTTTATCAGCTGAGCCCACCAAGGAAAGCTCCAGGTCCCACAGGGTTCTTCCGTCTATCAGTGTCCAGTCTGGAGTAGCTCTCCTTGGCAGCTCAGCAAGTCCCTCCTGCCAGGTGCCCCTCCTCTCCTACCACCTCTTCCTCCATCCCTCAGAGCTCTCACCAGAACTGGTGTATTCAGCAGGTTCTGACCAGTTCGGTAGCGGACATTTTGTGTAGTTTGGCAAACCGGCAAATGCCACCTCTGACTGGCCCCGCCAACCCCATCTCTTCTCTGCCTCCCGAGTCCCAGCTAATTGGCTGGGTCTTCTTCGGTTGCCCTGCACAGGAGAACGGAGTTGGAAAGCAGGTTAGTGGGGTGGGGAGGGAATGGGGATTTTGCAGTATCCCGTCGCTCACCTTCAGCTTCCCCCACCTGGGCAAGGGGAAAGGGCCTCCTTTCGCTGCTCCTCACGCGAAGAAGCAACCTAGAACTAAGGAGAAACTTTCTAACAATGGGAACAATTAACCAGTGGAACAGCTTCCCACCAGAAATCGTGGGTGCTCCAATCACTGGAGGTTTTTAAGAAGAGCCTGGACAGTCAGTTGTCTGAAATGGTATAGGATCTCCTGCTTGAGAAGGGAGGCTGGACTAGAAGACCTCCAAGGCCCCTTCTATTCTATTCTGACTGGTTGAAGGTCTCCTGCTTGAGCAGGGGGCTGGACTAGAACACCTCCAAGGTTCCCTTCCATTCTATTCTGACTGGTTGAAGGTCTCCTGCTTGAGCAGGGGGCTGGACTAGAAGACCTCCAAGGCCCCTCCCATTCTATTCTGACTGGTTGAAGGTCTCCTGCTTGAGCAGCGGGCTGGACTAGAAGACCTCCAAGGTTCCCTTCCAGCTTTATTCCGACGGCTGTTACACCCCGCCCCTCTCACCTGCCAGCAGGAGAAGCGGGCGGGGCCCCGCGCCGCCAGGTAACTCCCGCGCTGCCTCACCGGCGGCAGCAGCAGCAGCTCCGCCCCGCCGCGGGTCACCTGTGCGCGCAAAGGGCGCTCCAGGAAGGCGAGGGGAGGCAGAGCGAGGCAGCGCGCCCGCGCGCGACCCACTTCAAGCAGGGCGGAGAGAAAGAAGGGAGAAGGAGAAGAAAAGAAAAGGAGAACAAAAGGAGAGAAGAAGACAAGGAACCCTTCCTCCTTTTGGGAGCCCCGGTTGTGTGTGGATCAGCCCCCGGCTGGGTTTTCCCTCTTGGCTTTGTAGAGAGCAAACACAAGTTGCGTCTGGAAGCGAGGCAAAAGTTGGAGAGAACTTTGCGCCCGGCGTCGCCAGTTCGATTTTTGTCCTTTTTGATTTTTTGTTTCCCTTTCCTTTTTGGGGGGATTCTTGGCTCTCCCGCCCCGCATCATCTGCTCGTCGCCTATCCACCCACCCACCCACCGACCTCTGCCTCCTCCCTTCCTCCGAAAAGCGATTCGTCGATACCTGAAGGAAAGATGAATATTTATCGCCCACCTTCGGGGGCCCAAACGAAAGTCTCGGGCCTGAAATACAGCAGCAAGACCGAGGTGAGCGCCGACTTCTTTCTTTTTTTGGGGGGGGGGGGTGTGTGTTGCCCCCCCCAAAATCTGTTTTTTTTTTAAAAAAAATATGTTTTAATTGTTTTAATAGATAGATAATAGAATTTTTTATTGGCCAAGTGTGGTTGGACACACAAGGAATTTGCCTTTGGTGCAAATGCTCTCCGCGTACATAAAAGAAAAGATAAAAGAGTTTGGAAACCCGGAATGGATCCCACCTCCCTCTTTGTTGAGCTGGAAGGGCTGCGAAGGGGGGGGGGGGGTTCCCCCGGGGGGGGAACCTCGGGAGGGGGGGGGGGGGGGGGGGGGGGGGGGGGGTCTTCTTCTCAGGCAGGCTTGGCCCTGGTTCTGCATTGTTGATGGGGCGTTTGGAGAGGGGCTTCTCGTTCCGGAGAGATTTAGGCTTTGGGTGGAAGAGAAAAGAAGGGGAAGAAGGGAGAAAAAAAACAAAAAGGAAACGGGATCCGGGAAGCTGAGCTGCTCAGGTGTTTGGCTGAAAGGTGTGCAAAGGTGAAATATGGCCCAAGAGGAGGAGGAGAAAGGTGGGAGGAAATGGAAAAGACATTGGAAAAAATGAAATTAGACCTCCGGAAACAGAAATAACAAGAAAAATTATGGCATTGTGCGGGAATCTGAGAGGTTAACTTTAGAAACAAAAGGCAAAGGAATATTACAAAACATGGAATAAATTTTATAAATGGTTGTATAATAGAAGGACGGGGTTGAAATACTAGTAGTTACGATTGGATGAATGAGCGGTTAATGTTTTAACAAGGAGATTGTACACGATGAAGTAAAATGTATTTATGTGTAAATGAGGATACGTTGGAGGTACTGTGTTGTATTTGCATAATTAAAATTAAAAATATTTTTTTTAAAAAATGGAAAAGGCGGGAGGATCAAGATCCCTAGTGGGATGGTGGTGCCAGGCCCGCTGAGGAAGAGGAGGAATGAAAAAAAACACAGGTAGTCCTCAACTTGCAACAGTTGGTTGAGTGACCGTTCGAAGGGACCACAGGACTGGTGGGGAAGTGACTTTACAAGGACTGTTTTTTTTTTTTCCACACGTTCGACCGTTGCGGTTTCCCCGTGGTCACGTGATTAGGCTTGGCTCTCCTGACTCATGTTTATGGCGGCTGCAGCGTGGGACCAGCCAAATCAATGAGGAAGCCAAATTCCCTTCATAGCTGCCTTACTAACTGGAAAAAAGCTGCAGCTGTTCGCTTAACGACAACGGTGGCAAGAAAGCATAAAATTGGGACAACATTCACTTCACAACTGTATCTGTTAGCAACAGAAATCTGGGGCTCAATTACGATCATAAGTCGAGAACCACCTGACATGTTAAGAGATAAAAACAGAGATAAAATAGACCAAGTTTAAAAAAACTAGAAATATACAAGAGTCTTTTGCCTTATCCTTAAATGGATTTAGTTGGCCATATTTTTTTTTTTTAACTTTGTGTGTTACTTATCCCTTTATAAATGTTATTTGTGTGTGCATGTCAGAAGTGGTTCTCAGCAGGTTCTGACCGGTTTTGGAGAACCGGTAGCGGAAATTTTGAGTAGTTCGGAGAACCGGCAAATACCACCTCTGACTGGAGATTTTATAGTATCCTTCCCCTGCCACTCCCACCAAGCCACGTCTACAAAACCAGTAGTAAAAATTTTTTTAATCCCATCACTGCTGTGTGTGTATGATACATTTATATACATATACACACGGGACTTCCGGTGGCGTTTCCGTTGAAGACGGATCTGACTGCGATCGTGCGCGGCTTTGATCTGTGCTTGCCCTGCTGGAGGGGTCCCTGAGGGACCGAACCATCTGAACCACCTTGTAGGGGTGGGGGGAAGAGGGGGAGACCGCCATCTGGGTTGAGGGGAGCCGCATCTCCCCTCCCTAGCTTGCTATCTACTCCCCTAGAAGACAGGGAGAGGCGGCAGTTTAATGGCTGTCCTGAAGACGGGAAGCTACCGGGACTTAAGTCTTGTGTGCTGGAGAGTGGAAATGGTGAGTGGTGTGTAACTGGATAAAAGATTTTGAATACTTTTTAAAAAAAATCCCCCAAAAGCGGAAAGAAAGTGTCTTCATTTTAAAGAATGGTAGCGGAGGAAAATATAAGGTAAAGGAAATACCAGGAATAAAAGAATTATACGAAATCAGAGATCAAATTTGGATTAATATATAGAATTGGATATTAATTAGGCACTGGATAAAATGTTAGACTTATTTGGAATGGATGAAATTTAATATTAATACTACGGAAAAGAGAATTAAAAATAAAAGAACTTTGAAAAGAAAGTGATATAGAGTACCACCTAATGGTTAAAGATTTTCCTCTTTTATGTTTTTATGGAAAATAACTAGTTGTATAAATATTTGAAAGAAAGAAGAAATGGAATACAAGATTGTTAATACAACAAAAACCCCAGAAGTTTTTTTTTTTTTTAAAGAGGGAACTACAGTAAAATATAAAGGAATACAATATTTTGGGACTCTTGGAGGTTGACTGTGACAAGAAAACAGAAGAAAGAGAAAGTGAGAGGAGACTTTTGGCAAGGGCTATAATAGAAAAAATTGATCTTTAATAAAGAAATGAAATAAATAAATAATTTAAGTCGGAGCTGCAAATTGTGAGAGGTATATTAAAAGAAAGAATGAAATTGCTGGACACCATGATTAGTAAAGTAATGGCATTGTAGGTTGCAGAAGAACAAAGAAAGCCCAGAGACGACAAATCGGAAAAGGGGAACAACAGCCCAGATGAACATGGAGAACAAGGACTACTGCCAAAGGATATAAAAGGATTTAAAACAGAGACATTGATAATAGAGACAACAAATAAAAGAGACAAGGTTCCCAAGACTAAGAAGAAAGAATTATATAAGAAGAAACCCCCCAAAAGAGAACTGGAACGGGTGGGGGAAAACATGGCTGACAGGCAGATGGGAATAAAAATAATACCAGAAGGAAAAATGAAGAAAGACCGGGGAAACTTAGAAAAGGGAAAGCTGGCTAAAATTAAAGGAAATAATAAAGCCAAAAAATTTAGAGATAGGGGTTAGGGATTTTATAAGGGGGATACCACATGGGAGTGTATATTGATATTTAGTCTAAAACTTGCTGGGAAGTATTTTAGGATTATATATATATATATATATATATATATATATATATATATATATATATATGAATTGTATACAAATTATGCTGTTATGAACTCTTTTATTGGAGGATTAAAAACGGGAATGGAAATGAATTAAAAATATTATTAATGATTATAAGTAAAGTGAAGATAAAATGAGATATATTAAGAAGTTATTTAAGTGATTTACGGGGGTTTACTTTAAAATATATAGAGATTTTTTTGTTTGTGAGTGCAATAGAGACAGATAAAAGACCTAATAGTATGAATAGAAGAGATGACTCCACCAGACTATCAATCATCTGGAAGCCTGCACTCACAAACAAAAAAATCTCTATACCACAATCCAAACAAACACCTGGACACAAAAGACCACCCCCCAATACTTCCAACCGAAACACGCCCCAGCCAGCTACCCAAATAAAACCTAGCTTCCTAATAATTGTCAGCCATTCACAAGAAACCAAGCTACACTGAAAACTCCCAATACACAAAACACAACGTTGCCAGCTAATCAAGAACACAGCAACTCGAAGACCAATAAACACAGACCTAGACTCCCAGCCAATCAGGATGAAGAAAAAAACCATTCAAATAAAGCACGAAGCCAGCACCAAATTTAAAACAGAAATGGCTGCCAAAGCCTGACAAACACGATTAAGAAAAAACACAATACAGAAGCCTGATGATGGCAGATGAGATTCTGCCGAAACGTTGCTAAACTTTAAAAGCACAACTATAATGACATGGGAAAATACCCGAACAAAGCTGAATACATATATATGTGTGTGTGTGTGTGTACATACATGTGTGTGTATATAACACACACACACACATAATCTATAAAGGGAAAAATAACATGCACACAAAGATAAAAAAATAATAATATATGGCCAACTAAATCCATTTAAAGATAAAGCAAAAGACTCTTGACTAACAAATCCAATACCCATTAAGTCTACTTTGAGACCTGGGACATCATTGGACGGATTGACAGCAGATTCTTTGAAAAGAAACCGAGGAAAATTGAATTGACTGCAATATATGAACAATAGCTTTCTGGAGGCACAGTGGGGGCCTGCATTTGCTGAAGCAGAGGTGGGAATTGCGCTACCAGGGAGTTTCCAGTCCAGAACGAAATGAAAGTATTCACATGGTGACCTAAAATACTCTGAAATTGTGAAAGGATGATGGTGATGATGACAGGTTGGTGGTTAAAGTCTCGGGTACAACTTCTGCAGCAGAAGGCAAAAAAAGTCATCTGCAAACTGAAAATAATGTTGAGCTCTGAAATTTGTTTTGGAAATTACAGTTATATTGCAGTATGGGCAGTGTGGAGGATGCCTTTTTCCTGGGATATTTCCAGAGTTGTTTCCTTTCAGGGTAGGATCGGTTTAACCTTGAAGAGTTGGAGTTTAGCTACAGATCATTTCAACTTCCTGTTAGAGGATGCAGAACCTTTTCCTCCCCACACTGTAAATGCAATATTTCTAGTAGGTCACCTCCTTATTCCTGTTTTAACCCATCAGTGGAGAAAGATTTTAAGACTGTTGTACCTGTTTTAAAACCGAGATAATCCTATGTACTAAGATGGGTAAACCTCAGCTTTGAGTTTCCTCTTCTTAGAGATTTGCCAAAATGTAAATCTATGTGTCTTCTGCTAGGAGTGATGTAAGATATTTTTCTTTTAAAAAAGCATGGTTTTTATTGGCCAGGGGTAGGGTAAATTAACTAAGTTATGTATTGCCTTGACTCTTCAGGATGGGGCAGACTAACTGTCCACGTATATAAAGTTAATGATATTGCAAAGGATTGGGATGCAATTTGGATCTTTCTTCAG